GATTTCGTTCAACCATTTTAATATAATATAGTATCAAATATTATAATTAGGCATCATAACTAAGTATTGAATACTGATTGCTGTTAATTTAATGAACAAGCGGCGACGCACGCGCATCAACTTATTCTAGTTACATATATAATAACGCTTACCCAACAGCTGAATATGATCAATTTGAGTTGCCTATAAACGGAGTGATGGCATATTGATAAAGATTATAATATGCTAATAATTTCCAAAAGGAAAAGTCAATCTTTTTTAAAATTTAAAAATTTCAGTGTTGCAAACGTCATTTACCTCAATATAAAAATTACTTTTTCTTTTAGCATTCAACCCAATAAAATTTTAACTTTTAAAGTATAGCATAATACTGTAAAATCAGAAAAAAATGGAGATGTTTTGAAATATAGAAATACGGTAAATTTTTTCGGTTTTCAGGTATACTATTAATGAAAAAAAAAGAAAAGAAAATTTGATATTTTCACTTGTTTAATAAAAATATCCAACTAAAATAAAATATTATAAAAAATTAATACACAATAATAATTTGTTCAGGAGTATTGTCTTACTGCGATTATACAATTACATTAGTTTAAAAAAACCGAAACGAAGTCTAATACTTCCTTAAAAGGATCAATTAATTATATCTGTGTGGTCTAGATCAATATACTTATTTTTGAAAGAAAGGAAAAATGGCATAGGTCCGAAATGTCAGAAATGTGAGATCTACCATCGAAGGCTGCAGTAATTTTTTGGAGCCAGACACACATGCAAAAATCAAATGAATTTATTTCAGTAAGTAAAGTTTATGATTTCCAAGATATTTGGCCTAGGATTTCCTTTTCACCCTTTTTTATTTTATATTAAATTAGTGGCGAGGTTTATATTTTCTGATCATCACTCCGATATATACATTTCCGAAGCCAAGTTCTTGAACTCCAGTTTCCGAACTAGGTAAAATTGAAGATTTCATTAATTTATTTAGATCAAAGAACTAAATAAGCTTTTGAAAATTACCACAAGAAAACTTCAACAGGGACGATTATTACATTTACAAGTAGCTGAAGAAAAGGCAATGGTGGAGGTAGTATTCAGTATTATTATGAAGCTTTTGGTTAGATTTATCTAACCGAAGCAGGAGAAGAAAATAAGACTGATGCATATTATTTAGTAGAACCTGTCGATGTTCTGTAAAAATTGTCCAAAGAATTTTATATACTTGAATGATAAGATATTTTACGATATTAATTTTAAATAATAGATTCTTGAAATAACATCATACAATTTCTATCAAATGGTAAGAAAGGAAAGAAGCTCCGGAGGATTTGTTAGAAATTTAAAAGTTCGAGGATTGTGGATAACTATTATTCTGATTTTAACTGCATTGCAAAGGTGTGAGAAAAATTATTAAAATTATGTAGTGAGAAAGTTTACTTACGTGTACTTTTAAAAAATTATAACGTATGTCGGATTCCAATTCTTTAATAGTTACAATCGCAGCTATTGTTGGCCTTGGGTTATCTTGAAGTTTTTTGCAAAATATAAACAAAGGGTAATTTGTTTATATTGAATCCTTTATTAAGCTATTATTATTTTTCAATAGTCCGTACACCCATGATAGAAAACTCTTAAAGAAAGAAAACAAAAGTGTGGTTGATGCTTTGGCTTCGACACAGGATGACGTATTTAAGTGTAAATATTATCTGGTAATTCTAACTTTACATAATTAATCTAAATTTTATTATTTGAGTTACAATATTGGAGGACATATTGGTGACCTAAGCTCAATAACCCACAAATTAATCAGAGTACATAAAATGGCTTGTCAGATATAAAAAACAAATCTTTATCTGAAATAATGGTGAAAGCTTCTGACGACAATCTTGAACCTGTCCCTTATCAGCTTTTTAAGGATTGGAACAAGGATGAAAGTTTTATTTGTGTGAAGGCGATGAGCACTTTCTTGGAAAGGCTTGACGATATAAAAAAGGGAAAAGTCAAAAAATGTTATGAAAAGGCCGAAGTTAAAATAATATTTCTGCTGCGAAAAGCATCCACTTCCAGAAAAGCAGATGAACCTAAAGAGAAATTATGAAGCCGTGCGTCATACTTTTGGAGTAGTTAATTTAATCCTTCTTTGATATGTTATAGAATAGTTCAACTCATTTTGCCTTTTTTTTGAAGAGATGTGCATTTAAGAGGCAGCTCCTGTTGGAAATCCGCCCTGGTAACAAAGCCAGAAATTCCTTCAAAAAAAGCTTCTACCAATGCTGTTGCTCCAACTTTTCCAAAGAAGAGTGGAAAGAAGATACCAAATACAAGTTTACTAGCGAAATTGCTCGAGTCCAAGATCTGACTGCTGGTTTGCGTGAAAAGTATTGTTAATTGCGTTTGGAGGTAAGTTATTTTAGTAACTTGGAACTATGCAGAATCTTTACTATTTTATTTTTATTAGCCAAAGAGAAGTTGGATCCCGTCTGAAGTTAAATATCATGTTTCTTTCTGTCAAACCTGGATGTGTAAGAAAGCAATTTTCAGATTAATATTATATTTTAGTTAAAAATATGTGTTAGCCAAAAGTTTCAATTTTAGATTCATCAAAAACATTTAATATAATGTAGAAACTTAGTAAAAGATTCCATCATTTGGAATACCAACGGCAGCATTATCAATACCAAGTAAAACATTTTATTTATAAGATTATTACATTAGTATAAAGAAACGTGCGGGAGACGCATTAACGGCTTTTTAAAAATGGTATTTTCGCAATGTTACTGGTTAATTTGTCTAAATTCATAATATTTACAATACTAATAAAGCCATAAATACAGCAAATGACCCAATGTATAAAGCAAAAGCACCAAGACTTTAATGGATTCATGGTGGTGTTATTACGAAGTTTGGAATGGCAGATTTACAGATTGAATTTTTCAATTTCACAATAAGCAATATGTTCGCACAAATTCTATCACTGTTATGGGAGCCTTATTTATAACAGAATTTTAACACATTGAATAAAAAAGTCTAAACTTATAAGTAATTACTTTGAATATATTTCTATTCGAAGGATATTTAATTTTTTATAAAAATATTTATTTAAATACTTCTTTTATTATAATAATAAAATAAAAATTTGAGTTATATTCACTAAAATAATATATTATAAACGCGCGAAAAGTAAAGTAAACCCTCTCTACATGCACCCTCTCTAAATGCACACACTATATATTTTCTCTCTAAATGCACGCTCTTATTCAGTCCCAAGCATATAGAATTCATATAAAAATTTTCTCTTTAAATGCACACCCTCTTTAAATGCACATTTTTTAAAATTTTCACTATGGTCCCGAGGGGGTGCATTTAGAGAGGGTTGACTGTATATTAAAATTAATTTAAATTATGAATTTATTTCATCTTCTATGATATTTAATGATTCTATATTTAAAATATATATTAATTAATAATCTTAAAATTTTTATATTTATAAATATTATATAATTACCTCTATATTCATTAATTTCAGGTTTTACAGTATCTTCATTTAAAACTTGATTTAATTTTTCAGTAAAATTTAATAAATGGCTTGTATAATATGCTTGTAGATGAGATTCACTAATAATATCATTATTTAATATATTATTATCTTGTTTTTGTTTTAATACTTTATCTGCTTTATAAAATTCTATGATATCACTTGTATATTTTTTATCAAATTTTTATTTTTAATATTCTCAAATCAATTATTAATAATTTTTTTAATTTCTAATGCAGTTGGCCTTTTTAATGGATCTTTATCCCAACATTTTTCCATTAAATTTATATAACATTGTGGAATATTTTCAATAATTTGAGGACGTTTACCTTTACAAATATCTAAACTAAGTTGAAAATTATGAGCTTCATGATTAAATGGAGAAATTCCAGATACTAATTCCCATATAATCATAGAAAAACTATATATATTACTAGCTAAAGTATAAGATTGACCTCTTAAAACTTCAGGAGCTACAAATGGTAAAACATCATAAATATCATTTGTTTAGATGTTTGAAAATAATTTACAGGCTTACATAATCCTAAATCACTAATAGATAAAATATTTCCTCAAATATTTAAAATATTACCATGATGAAGATCATAATGAATTAGCTTTTTTTGATGAATTTCATTAAGTCCATTAATAATATTAATTAATTTAAATAATTTTATAATCCATATATTTTTCATTAAATTTGATAAATTTTTTCTTAAATTACTATTTTGTGCATATTGCATCACTACAATATAATTTAATGTATTTAGATCTTGAGTAAAACCATAAATTTGAATAAGATTTTTTTTTGAATATATTTTCAATTGACTATAACATAAATGATGATATTTCCACTAAAATAAAAATTAATTTAAAATTTTGTTATTTAAAATTAAAAATAATAAATCATATCTTACCTCATTTAAAAATATTTCATTTAAATTTAAAGATTTATCTAAAGATTTAAAAATTACATTAATTTTGCCAATTTTAATCCATTTTTTATTTTTATATTCATAATATTTAATAAATCCATCTGTCCAAGTTGCTTTATATATAATACTAAATCCTTCTTTATCAAGATACTTAATATTTTCAAATTTATTATAAGGAATCCATTATAATAATTACTTTCTACTTTGAGCATTTTTTTGAATTTTTTGAATAAATTTATCAATATATTCATTTTTACTAGTCCAATTAGAAAAATTCTTTTGTAATAATTTAGAATTACATTTTTTACACTATTTATATCCAGAATTTTTTTTATTACAAATTGAGCATTTTCCTTTTTTTTCTAAATATTAATTTTATATTAATATTATATTTATATTAATATAACTATAAAAATAAAAATATAATACTAAATTTAAAAATTTATAAGTTTCAATAATATATTATATTTTAAATAATTATTATTAAATATTAAATTAATTATATAATTAAATAATAAAAAATAATTTACCAACTATAATATAATTTATTATTAAAAATTTTAGATTAAATTTAAATTATAATATATATAATTAAATATTAATAATTAATAAAAATTACTTACAATCTAAATTATTATAAATTTTTAAATAAAATTTTAATTAAATTTAATTATAATAAAAGTATAATTGAATATTAATAATCAATAAAATAACTTACTATCTAAATTTAATTTTTTTAAATAAAAAATTTATTTAAATTTATATTATAGTCAAAAGTATAATTAATAATTACTAAAATAACTTACAATCTAAATTTAATTTTTTATTAAATAAAAAATATAATTATATTAAATTATAGTAAAATATATAATTTAAATACTAATAATCAATAAAATAACTTATTTCCTTTGGTTTTTTTAAATAAATAATTTAGTTGAATTTAAATTACAATTAAATATTAATAATCAATAAAAATTACTTACTATTTATTGCATTATTAATTATTAAATATTTTTTTAAATAAAAATTTAAATTCCATTAAAAAGTATAATTAAGTATTAATAATTAATAAAAATAATTTACCTGCTATTATATTATTAATTATAATTTTTTAAAATAAAAAATATAATTAAGTTTAAATAACAATAAAAAGTATAATGAAATACTAATAATTAATAAAATAACTTACCATCTATTATATAATTAATTATTTTAAATAAAAATTTAGTAAAGTTTAAATTACAATAAAAGTATAATTAAATATTAATAATCAATAAAAATAACTTACCATCTATTGCATTATTAATTATTTTAAATAAAAATTTAGTAGAGTTTAAATTATAGTAAAAAGTATAAATAAATAGTAATAATTAATAAAAATAACATACCATCTATTGCATTATTAATTATTTAAATAAAAAATTAGAATTTAAATTATAGTAAAAAATATAATTAAATACTAATAA